TCACAACATGACCGGGACACCATCACAACATGACCGGGACACCATCAAAACATGACCGGGACACATCACAACATGACCGGGACACCATCAAAACATGACCGGGACAACGTCGCAACACGACCGGGACACCGTCAAAACATGACCGGGACACCATCAAAGCACCGTGAAGCCTGCAGCCAGCAGCCACGTGCAGCGTATGACTGGAAGAACGGTTTGTTGCAAACATGTACAAAGTGGAAACCCTTACCGCTATAGCCCCCCACATTATTGAAATACAGCAGCATCACCAGCGAACGGGTCAGTATATGATACATGATCACGGCCACAGCAGAAGGAAGACTGATTGATGACTAGAACAGCTTGCGCAAGCATGAAAACCCAGAAGGACCAGCACAAAGAGCAACGACGTCGACTCGAGCCGAGCCCAGGTGGAAAGCAAGGCACATGGCCGTAAACCGTGGCAAGGCTACAACCGGAGCCTCTGCATGAAAGCATCACAGCAACAAGAACTACGGCCAGCAAGCGCTAAGGTAACTGCGGCAGCAGTAGCAACCGCTTAGAAGCGCGCCAAAGCTATGAACACAGACTTGGTGTGAACAAGCTTGTCAGCAGCACGACGTGCGCAAATGGGGGCAGCGCTACAACCAGAGCCTCTGCGTGAAAGTGCCGCAGCAAGGAGAACTATACGGCCAGCTAGCACTGAGCCAAGCGAGGGCGCAGCAGCGCAGCAGCAGCAGCAGCAGCAGCAGCGACTGCTTATTATAACTGCGCTATGGCCATGAACACAGACTTCGCGTCGGCAGTTGAACTGTTTGCAGACAGAGACGAAAAACGACGCCGACGCCGACGACGACAACAACAACAAAACAATTTTTTCTTTCTTTCCTCTTTGCAATGATCTGACACCGAGGCACAACTTGGTTGGTCCCCAATGCAGGAACAATTTACAGCGAGAAAACACGAATGCACGGAAGGCACGAAGGCAAGAAACTAAGGGCGTGGCCGAACGAAAGCAAAGCTGGTTGCGGATTCAAGCACATCAAGGCATTTAATTACGAATTGGAAAAAGTGGTGGTGTCGTCAACGTGAAGGACAAATCGTTCCGAGTTTTCTTTGTGCTGGTCAGCGTGTTCTGAAACCAGCGTGCAGCATGAAGGCCACCTACAAGTGAAGGCCGGGCCGCAATGCCAGGCTTTACTGCAGAAAAGCCTAATCTGCGTGCTGACAAAGCTTTGGTACAATATGCGAAAGGCATGGCAATGACCCCTGTGCGAACAAGCATTTTGAAACAAATTGCGAAGGTGCTAATGTCCCGTCCCAAAGTGGGAGAGACGTGATACACGAGCGGATTGGTTTTTGAAGTGTACCTAGCAGCAACCCCACACTTCTGAGTCCCAGGAATGAGTGTTGGAGCAAGAGTACGTGCGTGTGCAATAAAGTCGATATACAATTCACACCAAGGGATATCGTTTTCAGGACAAACAGGCTCGCCATGAGGCCAGCGCAGCAAAATCACCCATTGCAATAAGGCATCAATAAACGTTGTTGGCCAGTTGTCTTGTGTTTGACAGACCTGGTCGCGTTTCTCCCAGTCGATGTCAAGAATAAGTTCATTGTCTGTAGACATGAGGGGGTTCAGTGAAAACTTATTTTCCTTGTCTTCGGTGAGTGAAAAACGATGGTTCGCTGCAGAAACCAAGAACTTGTGATAATTATGCAAACGAGCTCGTTGGTCAATGAACTTGTTTAAGATTTGCTTATACAGTCTTTGGCAAGGTGCTCTCAAAAGAAGCACGGATTTAGCTGCGAGGTCAACTTGGTGGTTTTGCCAGCACAATTCGCGAATTGGTTCTTGCAGCTTGTCCAAAGTTGCATGCGCTTGGATCTTCTCAACATGAACATATGCTCCACGATCTGCCAAGAGATCTGCAATACACTTCCACAAATCTTGATTGCTCCATGAGGGAGGAACAACATAACCGTGAGTCTGCAAAAGACGAATCTTATCTACGCAATTCTGATAATCAGTGTAAATGTGTGAAGCAAAGAACTTTTCCAACGCCAAAATGATCCCATACAATTCCCCTCTTGCACTGGATTGCTCAAGTCCTGGGACTAAGGAGGCCTGAATATTTTTAGAAATATATGGGCCTTTTTTGATGTTCAAAGCTCCGGCTGACAAACGAATTAATACATTTTTTGAGTCAGTGCATGTCCCGTCTGTGAAGAGAGTAAACACCGTAGGATCCCTTTGCGGTTTGGTGATCCGCAGCTTGCGATTTTGCAGTTTTTCCCAGAGTTGCCAAACACCATGAGGCACATATTCGAGACCAAACAAACAAAAAAACAAACCAACCAACAAACAAACCAACAAACCAACCAACCAACCAACCAACCAACACAACAACAACAAACAACAACAGCAACAAGAACAAGAACAAGAACAAGAAGAAGAAGAAGAAGAACAACAACAACAACAACAACAACACAAAGACAATTACCCCATACATGGCTCTTGACTCTTCACGATTGAAGAACATATTGCACTCACCCTGTAGTTGTTCCAGGCTGGTGAAGATTCAAAGTCCAAGGAGGGCAATGCCAAAGGAGGTGAAGGTGGAGGAGCCCCCCCCCAAGAACAACAGTTCTGGTCTGCAACAAAGCCGCAGTCTAGTCTTTGTGTGCATTGCGGGGGAGGCGCTGCGCCCTCCCCCGCACGAACCTGTAGGAATTTCAATGCTTCGGCTTGCAGGAGCTTCTCAGCAGTTGGAAATTGCAGCTTCACATACAGAGCAACATCATCCAAGCAGCACATTGGGCTTGTAAAAAGTTGTGTTGCTACAGTCGCCTTCTGGAACATGTCCAACCCAGAATCCAGCAGTTTCGCTAATCTAAATGGCCATTCATCATAGGGTTGAATCATTCTGTCGTAGACGTCAGCTGCAAGAGTGAGAACACAATGTTGTAGGATCTCACAATCCAACAAATCTGACTCTGAATCAGGTCTCAGAGATTGCAGAATGAACAAGGAATTGTGTTCGTTGTGATCCTCAACCACAAGGAACTGACAGTATTCATCCAGCATTTTCCTTGCATGAGAACGTGGACCTGCCAACTGAACCAGAGGCAAATCATGCGGGGCACGAGCTCGTGAAGCTGCTCTGATTGTGTGTGGAATATCCACCCAAGTAAATGATCTACAGGACCTGACATCAAAACCGCTATGGCCAGATCAATTGTCATCCTGCGTGATGCCAACCATTCAGCAGCTTTCCCAGATCGATATCGCAACTTGCGTTTGTACAATGTTGCCTCTGATGATGGCACCCCAAGCAACTCCTGCGCTGCAACCAGAGACGTTGTCTCGTTTGCTGAATCAGTAGAGTCGCTAGAGTTCCTGTTCTTGCTGCTATACACACGATTGAAGGACTTTGAAAGCAAGTCATAGCAAGCGTTTGCCAACAAGTAGAAGCGAGCTGATTTCACACATGAAGTCCACCTCGAAACTGTTGGTGTGTTTGGCTTGCAAGCAAACAGAACTTCACACACAACAGCTTTGGCGCGACAAAGGCTGTCTGCTTCAGCAGCCGAAATGACAATGATGAAGAATGGGCCCACTTGATCTCCAATTGCCATTGAGTATCCCAAGAAGTCTTTCAGCTAGTTCATATGTGCTTTTTCTGTCCCTTTCATCTGTGCTATCTCCAGCAAGCAATGTGTTGTTCACAATGGATCTCGAAAATCTCTGGTGTGATGGATGTGGCGTTGTGTAAACAACTTTGAATCGTTCCTCGATGATTATCTGTGCAGCAGATTGTAAATCCAGCCAAACATTACCACTCTGAGGTGCAGTTTGCAAAACGTTTGTTGTACAGAACATGTCGCTGAGAAACCCGAGCCCCACCCAAAGCGGCGCTGAACACAAGTGCACTTGATGTGCACAACACAGCACAGACAAGACTATACAGTTCTTTGGGCGACGAACTGATATTTGTTTCACCAAAGAAATGTTGCTTGTGGCAGCATCTGACATCAACCCAAGCACAAATGGTTGGACGTTGGAGCCACTGCAAATGGAGATGTGCCAATAGCTCTCAATATTCCAGACCAAATGTTGCCAACTGTTGTTCCAGCAAGAATTACAGGTGGATATATTGACTCAGCTGAGCACATTGCGACGCCATTGTTTGCCAAAGTCACAACTTCACCACGGGTGATCAAGAAGGGAAAAACACCACTCGCTTTGGCTAGACCACGACGGCATACAGTCTTTTGGGATGATTCATCCCACTCCAAGCCCAATCTGACCATGTGTGGCTTGGCCTCATGGGATGATGCAGTCAATTGAACTTGATGTTGGGTTAGACACTGGTTAGATTAGCAGGTTTGGTTAGATTAGATTAGATCATAGGCGCAAACCAAAGAGCATTTTGCAATGGTCAATGGTCAATGGTGGTTTATTGAACAGAACACTCTGGACCCAAACACCTCAAGATTGCAACACACAGGTGGACATTCAACATTTGTACCACCCCCCACCTCAATCAACTTGTGATGACACTCCCTTTGGCAAGCCATGTAGAGTCCAGCTACAGCCATCCTGACCTGCCAGCTGATGGCGCTCTGAAACACTAACAGTAGCACAACTCACAACCTAAAGCAACATTGAACATTGAGCAACTCCTTTGGAAAAAAACACAATTAATTCCAATCTAACTTCACCATTTATAAACAATTTGGTTTGATCATCCCTCTACCTTCCCCACGAAAGTTGTGCTTGCTGACAGCCAGTATGCAGTGCTGTTCAATGAAAATGAGCATCTCCAAGCAAACCTGTAGTTTTGTTTCCTACCACTGGCAGCAAAAAGGTGCCAAATAAGACTAGACTAGACTAGACTACATTAGATTAACATTTTGGCTTGCGCAAATCAACATCACATTTGATATCTTTATAAAACATATCATATCATATGCCCTGACTCATATCTAAGTCGCGTTGTACCGCCGATTAATTGGGACAGGTTAAACTTGAAACCTGAAATCATACAGTCTTGGTCTCAGTCTTAGCATTGGGTATTGAGCCTGGCCTTGAGCCTATGAGTTGTGAAAAAAACTCCAATTGCAAAAAAAATGTGACGATCCCTCAATGTTAGAGTCAGAGTGGACTTAAGCTGAAACACAACAACATGTTTGCTTGAGGCCAGCCAAGCTACGATACACGTAGCATTGCAGCTGCCGTCCACCGCTTATATGCACCTTTTGCCAAGATGCCAGTCTTGGATCGTGCTTTGCGCAAAGCTAGTTTTCTTGTCTGAACTGAATCTAGCCCTGGATCATCTAACACAATCAAACCCTTCCGTCTGGTCGCATGGTTGTCATTGTACCTCTTCACTTTGGCGCTAGCCTTGAGCACAAATTTTTTGTGCGCCCTACACTTCTTAACATCTTGATCAACTCTCTCCAAGGCAGCCAAAACATCCATGGTCCATGGCCTTTTCAAAGCCCTACTCTGCGAATTGAGCGCTCGAGCAAAATATTTACAATGCCACCACACCACCAACAGCAAACAGTGTGGCGAACGCGAAAGGAATGTGTACTGAACTTGTTTCTTGACAAGCCGTTGTTGCTATTGTCTTTACATCGTGTGTTGTTAGGACAAGTTGAATAGTAAAGTCTAGTGAACAGAACAGAGTAAAAAGTTCAAAGAGTCTTCCAATTTTATAGTCATGGTCCTGGTCCATGACTGTGACCATGCAATCTGTGGCAATGCTTTGATGACTCAACAGACTCAGCAAATTTACATTCACAATCTGAAATCATATGACATCTGCTGCTGAATCGAAGCGATGCACAAACTGCAAAAAGACACAAAGCACAAATGTAAACATACATCACATGTTCCACGAAGCTAAGATGTGTTCTGTCGCAGTGTGTGCACGAAGCTATATAGCGTTGTTCTGTTGTTGTTTGCCTTCTGAGTCTGTCACCGGTCACAATGTTGTTTTCCCTTGGGCCAATGGGCAACTTTTGTGGCTTTGGTTGCGTTGCTTGTTTTTGTCTAGTCCTTGTCCAGTCACGAGTCACAATGTTGTTTCCCTTTGGGCCAAGGGGCAAGTATTGTGGCTTTGGTCTGTTTGCTTGTTCTTGTCTAGTCCTTGTCCTCTGTCCTCCATCACATCCTGGGCCCACGCTGTACTAGAACAGTTAGAAGCGAAGCAAAACCACATTGTACATTGGGTAGTCCAACAATCTTGTTGTAGTTGTTACTCCATAAATAGTACATGTTGAAATGTTGATCTTGTACTCTGTACTGAAATCATTCCATTCTGCCAGCGCCGATGCATTGTCGCAAACAACTATGTATACAAGGCCTTTGATTGAAGATTGAAACAACAAAAAACACACAATGTTTTCGATGAATCACTGGTTTTATTTTGCCAACCCGGCAACCTCTAGTGAATCTCTTTTGACATGGTGGCACATTATTCTTCTCACACTGGCACACTTGCGGCGTCACTACCGCAAAACTCAATGTGACAATGTCATATGAATGTCACAAGCAGACAGTGTCTATTAAATATGGTAGCATTTATGCGCATGAGAAAGCCAAATATGTAAAAACGAAATACGTCAAGGATACAAGCATATACAAGTATATGTAAATATGAAATACGTCAAGGTTACAAGCATATCGCAGTATATGTAATTATGAAATACGTCAAGGGCGTAAGCATCTTCTTAGACAGCATGCCCCATAGCTCTCTTGGATTTAGATAAAGAATGGACCTTTTTTGGAAATGATATGGAATGTCCATTGAGATCAGAATTTCTTGAATCCTGTTCTGTATTTTGGTATCCGGTTGTTTTGCATGCCCTCGAAAATCGAGGAAAGTAACATTCTGAATTCTGATGTGCGAAAAAATTTGGTAGGCGATTTCTACCGCTTGACCAGATAAGCGGCAGGATCCTTTGTACTTCTTGCTTTCCTAGATTACTGATTTCAATCCTGAGATGCTGGTAGACATGCTCAAGAGGACCAGAGAGCTCATGAAGCTTGGATACCGAAATACAGAAAGTGATACAACTTCGATCTGTGACACCAAGCGTGGTCTGAACTGGAATTCCGGTTCGATGCACTCGAAATCTAAAGATTCCTGACATGGATTTAATGCGCTCTTGGATCATTGGAGTAAGAACTGCACTGTTACACAACCAAGTTTCAGAGTATTCAAGACTTGGAGACGCAACTTCAAGACTGTTCGTAGTGAAGGAGGAGTGCAACAGAACAAAACAGATGCTCTTGGTAAACTTCTTCGATTGACCTGTTGGTGTATATAGACAAACTCTTGATATTTAGATACGCAGTGGACTCGTGCAAGATGCCTTCGGAGTGCTGTACAAACAGCTGTAACAAGGTCAAAATAGACAGCATTGACAAAGCATTCATGGAAGAGACACACGAAAGACAGTTTCTTGGCATCTTGGTAGAGTTGGAGGACTTTCTCTTGAATGTGCGCCTGGACCTGAAATAAGACAACTGAGATGTCTCGAGTGCCTGCCAACGCAGTGTGGATGGGTTCTAAATCATCCTCACTGACAACAAATAGATCCTTATGGTTTTTGAATGTTCGAAGTTCACTAGTAAAACGGCAAACAAAAAAGACTTGATGAGACTTACCAGTACGGGGACCAAAATGCTTCTTAAGCAATCCCTGATCATCAAAGGACAAAACGAGATCCTCATAGATAGCTTGCGCAATCAAACAACATGCCTCTTTGTCAAGCATCTTAAAGCAGAGCCTACAAAAACCAAAGACAGTAGCACGGGCTACTGTTTTGGGAAGAGGACGGCGAGGACACCCAAAACGATATCACGGGATACCGCAAGGGAAGTGGACAAGACCAAGACCAAAAGGTACACAAAAACTCGAAGCTACCTACAAGAGTGCTTTCAATCTAACTACAACAGGA